AGGATTTTCCTTCACAATAAACATAACACAAGTGTGAAAGTGAAATGTCAGAGATATCAACTGTCAAACTTAGTACTTAAGGAAATCGGACATTTCATACTTAATAACCTAATAGCATGGCCAGTTTGCATAGCTGCTGACAACAGGGGAGGGGCTGACTGAGATCAATACTGACAGCAATTCAAATCGGTGCCATGATTTTGGGGTGCCATCAGTTGGCATGGTCATGAGACTTTTTTCATGGTCCATTTGGAGGAGCAAGATGTAGAATATACAGATAGCGAAATGGGCTGGTTTTAAGTCAAAGCCACTTACAGCTGTTTTTAAGTTCTCTGATATTTTCTTTCCTTTTCCAATTAAAAACATTTGAATGAGGGGTCTGTAAGGGTCAGACTAACATTTAGAGAAATAAAACATTAATTTACATAATTTACATCCTAAAAGGCTTCTAACTCTCTCTATTCCCACACTTGATAATATCTAGTAACACTAACAATTCTGGCCAAAGGTTGTTTTAACTGTTCTTCAAGATAGGAAAGAAAAATTGTACAGTTAAAGACTGTAAAAAATGACATGAGAGCTAAACAGTCTACATACATGAGCATGCAAGGGAATGACAGTAGAGAACTAGTATACCTTTGCAAACCCAATGAACTCTGTAAATCATGCGTATTCCTGAAAGTCACAACTTGGGTGCCTGGGCTTTAGCAACAAGTTAGGGCCCAGCCCAGATAATATTAATACAAATAAAATATAAAGAAAAAATGGTGTTAAAGCTTTGAGCGTTAAGATTAGATACCATATCCTGAAACGTTGAACCAATGAGTCAGACAATAACGAAAAATAGCATGGCATTGCTATTGGTCCCCAACCCCTGAAGAATCACTAGCTGAACGGGAAATCAAAGACAATGGGGGGTAACTACGTGAGATCATGGAAAAATCATGGGAAATTAAGTACTAAGTCCTAGCAAAAGATTACCAATAACTGAACAGTTTTATGACACACCTATGTACCCAAAGTGGTTTTTCTTCCAATTATTTTTTCATTTTACAAGCCATACTTTAAATGATTCATCATTATCATGTTGGAAAATACATGGTGCTTTCCCTTGAAACTAAGGTCTAATGAACAAACATGGTAAACTCAGAGGTGGCAATGCCTTGCGCAAATAATATTTTTACTGTCTATTGTGAAAAATGACTATCATTCATACACTAAAAATTCAGTTATATTTTTATCTATTTTTAAAAGGTTATTTCCATTCATCAAAACATGGCCTTGATGGTACTTTCCTCCACATCATCCTTCCTCAATATTTCCAGGGGATTTTTCAGGAGCTTGTGGGGTAAAAAGAAATATGGGAAATAAAGACAGGAACAGTTTCTGCAAAGGATCATACACAAAACTTCTCTTTACTTATGGAGGGAATACAAGAGCTCTGCTGAGCTTAGGAAGATATAGTACATTAACATTAAAACATTTCTTTTTAACAGTGGCAAAGCCTACAATTCTTAACCTTTAACATGCACCGGAGCCCCCTGGAGGGCTTGTTAAAAGCTTGCTGGCCCTCATCCTTGGAGTTTCTGATTCAGCAGGTCTGGTGGTGAAAATGTGCTGATGCTACTGGTCCAGGGACCACACTTCGAGAAGCTCTGCTCTAAGCACCTCCCCATCTCCTCCCCTTGCTTTCCACTTCTCTGTCTTGCCAAGATGGCTTCCCTCACTGACAGTCCTCAGGATCTGTTCCATCATCCTTCAATACTGTACTTGAAAATTTTTTATTTCCTAAATCTGGTAGTTTTACCAAGTGTTGATGATGTCTATTTACAGTGGCAGGAAAATTTCTTTTTTTGGCCATAAGTTTGTTTTGCTGGGCTTGTTAAAAACTTTGTAATCCATGCTTTCAGCAATACTGCTCATCTTCTTTATTTCTTTTTGATGTTGCTATTTCCAGGCATTTGACATTCATCTTTTTGTGATCTTAACACAGGAGAAAGCATCTCTGTGCCACTTGCATTTAGTGCTTGGTGGTGGAACTCATCGTTTTCCTCACCTTTTCCCTCTGAACCAGTTTCTGATGAGGTAGGAACCCATCCTGATTGTTGCCAGTGACAGTAACTCCGCTAACTGTTGTGACAGGAGTGGGTGATAAGGAAATACTGACAAGTACAACTGGCAGCTCGAGCATTAGCAAAGGAAGCAGCTGACAACAAGCACAAACTGCTTCTACCATCCCTCCCACCATCCTATGAACCAGGACACATCCTTGAAGCTATGCCTCCGACTAGATGGCATCCATAGCTGCTAGAGTAAGCCACTTTGCTCTCATGCCAGCTCAGATAAGGTTCACAAGACATATAGGACACTGAATACAGCCTCTAACACTGAGATTTTTACATGGCCTTCTCCCCAGGAAAACAAAAGCATGTGGCTCAGAACCACAGTAATGAAGCCAAAATAAAACAAAGACCTGAAATGAATCATGCATCACCAGGAGCCCTTACCTAGAGCCTAAGTGGAGAATCCATCATATCATCAATGACTGTGCCAGCCTAGCTCCTTTGTCACAACACTAACTTTTCCAATTCCAAGTGACTTAGGTAATAACTCTGCCCCTTTACTCTGCATCAGAACTTCCCAGGCCATGGGACAGATGTATAGATACAGGTGTAAATGTCCCAGATTCCAAAGTTTGGGATGCATAACTAGTTTAATTACTTGTCCTAGGTGTTGCACTTTACTTAACAAAGGATGCCATAAGCATCACAGATTAAGATGATTTATTTTAGTTTTTGGTCATTTTGTGCAAAAATGGCCTTGTTTTTAGCCTATTTCATAGCCCAGTAAAGTGATGTCCTATGAAATTTTCAATTGCATTTGACTTTTAAAGAATCCAAAGAAGAAAATGAGGCCTATTTTCCAACTACATACCACTTAGTAAAAATTATACTCTGCCCCTTCCAAATTTGGTACCAAGTAAGCAGCTAATAATTTCCTCTTCTCATCAGTTCTTACCAAAAAGCAACACAAGAGTTTTGATACAAATGAAGTTGTTCCTTTAAAATACTACATCTGAAAAATAATCTTAAATTCCCTTAAACTTATAAGTAAAACTGACTTTTTATGAAAGATTCTCACACAAGTAGATAATGACTTTTGCCCACTGTAGAAAACACAAGATTAGGATTCAGACAGGCAACTTGCATAGCCAGCTAGGACAAATCAGAACCCCAAAATAAATAAAAACTGTGGAACTCAGCTTTAGTTATTGCTTTTGAGCAGATCAAACACCATGAGCTCAAGGATCATCCTCAAAGTAAGTCATGCTATCTGATTTTTTTCAACACTGATTACAAAATCTGATTTTTTAAACTTTATCTTTCCTTGAATGGTAATAGATTTTTCTTAATTTATAACATATACACTGTGCCATATAAAAAGAAAATTTAAATTTTAAGATTCAAAATACACTCAATCCTAAGGTTATCCTGTGGAACTGGATAATACAGAAAGCAAGCAGAATAAGTGATTAATAATTCCTTACGCATGCATACACGGCACCTTAAAATGAGGAGCACAATTTATAACCCTGTGTTGGAAAGTATTTGTGTGCTTAATACTATTCTCTCAGGCAACTAATTTTCTTCCCATTTATTACAGGTAGATATTGCATTCTTGGGTGATCCTTGTTGAAAGTATTCAAATTGTGTAGAAAAGCATGCCCAAGAAAGATGATAAACATTCATGGCATATTGTTTCACCAATATGGGCCTCAGACTGACTCAGGTCTATTTCTAAAAACCAACAGATTAAAACCCAGACCAGAGAAAATATGAAAGTCTGGGATTTTAATCCTGGCTTAGTTATGTGATTTTGAGCAAATCACTCACTGTGTGATTGTTTTCATCTCTCTAAAATGGCATGACTTTGTAGAGATGTTTGAACTGTCAATTAAGTTGTACGTGTAACTTATTTTTAATCATAAGTAGAAAGAAGATTATTAGGCAACACCTTGGCCACCTGACCTGCAGAGGTTTTAATTAATAGTCCATGATCATAGGACCAATCACTGCATGAGCCATAGACCTTGGCACAAAGAAAAAAATTATGTCCATAGACTTCTCCCTTAAACCCAACCAAGTATGTTAGAAATATGTGCCACAGGTCACTATGGGGACTAGGTAAGAATGCACATGACAATAAAACATACCTTTATCACTGAAGTTATTCAGTGGTGCCATTTCATATTCAGACGTTACATTTTCTACACTTCTATGGGTGCAGCCCACAGGGAAGGGAAGTGTAGCCTTGAAGTTCCCTGTAAGTACACTGACTACTATATGAGAACCAGGAGTGATTCTGAGGGATGCTGGGTTGCTTCAGCACCATCCGTCTCCCATCCCACAGTCCCTATCTGCCGCCTCCCTCCTCCACATTCCTTGTTATGAACGGACATGTTTTCAGTCTTACATAAAGTGCTATATAAACTTAGCTTTGAGTTCCCCTTTCCAACTAGATTCACATCCACCCACCTCCCCACTTCATCTGTAAAGAAATTCTAGAGTTTCCGCTGATAAGGACTATGATTTTTAAAGGGAACATGATAATGTAGCCCACCATTACATTCTGTGTGGGGAAAAAGGACAATCGCACTTTGGGGAAAGGAGGCACTGCCCCACTCAGCACCTATTTAAGACAGAAACTAAGCAGGTGCAGGAGTGGGAGTTCCTCTACAATGTGTCTAGAGCAGTGAGCACTTAGCAAACAGCTTCTGTGTATTTCAAAGTAAAAGCACTCAATTCGTACAAAAGAGCCCTTCTATCAGCTAGGCCCCTGAATGACAGACACTCTTGATTATACTTTTTAGAAAGTGTGGCTTTTCTCCAGCAGCTCCAGGCAGTCACTTATTTCTCATTTTCACAAGGTAGCATCCAACTTCAGGCATGACTGTATATATAACTCTACATGCAGCTGAGCCGTCATAAACACGCCAAGTATAAAGGCATGTCAGAGACATTTTTCCTCCCCAGAGCATGGCCCCAAGAAGCCATTATTATAATAGAGTATGAATTTCTGCTACATGTTATTGACCTAAAATACTACTAATAAAGTCCCACTTAGGACATAAAGGCTTACACTGGGACATGAAGTAGGAAAACACAATCCACTGACTATTTTAAGTTTGCTGTATATCTAAACCACTTTCTTCACTACACCAATCTGTGTGTATGTGTGTGTCCTCTTGGTAGAACACAAACTTTGGAGACAAGATAAAATACAATGCAGCTGCTGCTGATCCCGTTAGACCATGTGCAGAAAATGGAAGAAGTTCCCAAGGCCTAAGCTGCTGGTTTCTCTTTTGAGGCCCCGAATTGAGAGAACTTGGTTGTTTTACCTTATTGGCACTCTGAGTGAATCAAAACTAGGCTCGAAGGTAAGCCTTCTCTCCTGTAAACACGATTCCATACAGGCCTTAACTCAGTATTTAAATTCTGGAACTGGCTACAAATTTGGGACTTCCTCAAATGATACTAAAAGCTCTACACAAAAGGTATACAAAAGCAGTTAACTAGTTTTTCAAGAACAAAGACAAAGCTGCAAAAAAGCAACAGCTCTGTGAATGAAGCTGGACGTAAATGTTGGGACAGCAATAATCATGTAACAGAGCAGATGATCTTTTTGTTAAAAAAAATTGCTGCCTCAATACTTTACTAATTAAAAAAAAAAAAAAAGATTCCCACAACATGATTTCCTAAGAGAAAGAGTCCGCTGCTGTGTTTAAAGAGGAGTCGGTTCTGGCAGAAAGGACAGGGAATGTCCGTTAAGATACGCAAGAATATATAATACAAAGTCTAACATTTGTTTCAACAACACCCAGTCAACTCTTGGAGGGTAAAATAGTGCTGTCTAGCTGTATCCAGGGCTCTTTTCTTGTGGCATTTTAAAAAACGTAGCTGTAGTTGAGTCTGTGGCTTTCTCTGCTGCCGAGGTCCTGATCGACCACTCAGAGTTTGGAGATTTCGGGGCCTGTGATGCTGGTGTGGTTGGCTCCAATGCATCCGTGTGAACTAATAAGGTTATTACAAAAGTAAGGAGGAAAAAAACATCAAGGAAAAATACATTAGAATAAGACAAATTAGAATGAGAGACACTTAGAAACAAAATTTTCTAAATCCTTATGTTTCATGTCCTATCAACCCAAGTGGCCACATAAAGTTTCTTTTTTTCCTACAAAAACATAAAGGCAAGATTTAAGTGAGAAAAGTATTTCTCCATCTGACAAAATGGGTTTAACTGAGCCAATGAATACATTCAGTAATACAAATTCATAACGTAATAAAAACCACTTCTTAAGCACTTATGTGACAGGCACTACACGGCATAAGCACTACACTATCATGATCTTATTTCCTAATGCAGACCCTTATTAGTAGATATTGTCACCTCCATTTTCCATATCAGGAAACTGAGGTATAGAGAGGTCAGATAAATAGTTCAGGGATGCAACAAGCTGGTTAAGAAGCAAGATTCAAACTCAGATACTGAACTTGAAGCCCTATCCTCTTTCTGTCACACTCCATGGCTCCACTAGGGCAGTGCCACCAATAAATATATACAACAAGGAAAATGGTAGAAAGAGAACATAGGCCCAGTATTTTCCAATAAGGTCACTAAAGACATTCTGGACAGGATAATCATTGTTGTGCAGGGCTGTCCTGCATATTGCAACAATTCCCATTTTGGATCCTGTCTACTGGATGTGACAACCAAACATTTTTTTCACATTTCCAAATGCCCCCGAGTAGAGCGGTACAAACCATAATTACACACTAAAATATGGTAAAATCTAGGAAAGTTTAGATTTTATTTTACCCTGTCACCCAATAATTCCACTCCCAGGAATGTAACCTAGAGCAGTAATTTTCAAATTGTGGGTCACAAAACCAATTCAGTGGGTTATGATCATTACCACTTTTTTCCTCAATAAAAAATATCAAAGTGTACCCAGGATTTATTTCAGATTTACATGTGCACCCACATATATATACCAACATGAATTTCTTACCATGGATTAATATAAAAGTATCTTGAAAGCTTTAACTCTATAGCACATATACAAGAGTTCTTGAGGGCAATGGCTTTCAAAGGTTTTGGAACTTCAACCACAGCAGCAACAAACACATTTGACAACTCAAATTTCTCTCACGTACACACACTCACAACAAATTCATACGCACATAATTATTCATATTTAACTGATAATAAATTTCCCAAAACTATACCTATCCTTACATGGTCACCAAATCACAGTGAAAGAAACACTACCCTAGAAAAACTTTTTTTGCTATTTTTTTCGTATGGTAAAATATACATAAAATTTCCTATTTTAACCATTTTTAAATGTACAATCCAGGAGCATTAAGTTCATTCATACTATTGTATAACCGTCACCACTATCTACCACCAGAACTTTTCATCATGTGAAATGGAAACTCTGTACCCATTAAATGATAACTCTTCATTCCCCTCTTTCCCCAGCACCAGGCAACTACCATTCTACTTTCTGTTTCTATCAATTTGAATATTCTAGGTAGCTCAAAATAGTGGAATCATACAATATTTGTCTGTCCTTTTAGGCTGGCTTATTTCACTTAGCATGTCTTCATCCATGTTGTAGTATGTGTCAGAATCTCACTCTGAATAACAAAGACTTTCAGGCTGAATAATATTCCATTGCATGTATATGCCACATGTTGTTTATCCATTCATCTGGCAATGAATATCTGGATTGTTTCTACCTTCTGGCTATTGTGAATAATGTTGCTGTGAACATGGGTGTACAAAAATCTATTTGAGTCTCTGCTTTTAATTCTTTTGTAGATATATCCAGAAGTGAAATTACTAGATCATATGATAGTTTTATGTTTACTTTTTTGAGGAACTGCCATTCTATTTTCCACAGTGACGCACCATTTCACATTCCCACCAGCAACGCACAGGGTTCAGTTTCTCCACATGCTTGCTAACATGCGATGTTCTCTGTTTTATGATACACCATCCTAATGGGAGTGAAGTGGACGTGAAGAATGTTTGCACTTGTTCTCTCAGAGAACAATGCAGTAGTTTTCACAATAGCATAAAACAGGATAAAATCCACACGTCCATCAAGAATGTTTAATTATAGTACATTCATCATACTCACACAATGGAATATTATATTATACATGGAAGTTAAAAATGAATGGATTCTGGCAGGACAAAACATGAATGAATCTCAAGAACAGAACTGTGTGAAAACTGGAAGTTATAAAACATGACATACAGCTTGATTCCACTTATACAAGGTTCAAAAACATGCAAAACTAGATAATATATTGCTTAAAGATACATATATCTGTTAAAAATACTTGAAAAAAAGAATGATAAACAATAAACAAAAAGTTATCAGAATAACTTTCACCTCCATGGAAAGTGGAAGAAAGATTTTAAAGGTAATGTTCTTTTTCCTAAAGTGGATGGTAGGTACATTGATATTGTTTTTCTTTATGTATCTACTATAAATGTTCTTGTGCAGTCATTCAATAATGACTACATTCAAAGATATTAAAACATATTTTTAACTTTAAAAAACATTTAAACTTCAAAACGACATAGTAGGCAATAAGAATTTGTCCTATGACTCCTGAAACAAGGGACATTCTAAAATGAATCTACTGAATCCAACTATGGGGTTAGAATAATGTTGAAAATAACTCTTTTGACCTTAAGAGTCTATTAATTTATTCATACTACAAATATCCAGTGAGTTTGTTCTATAGGTTAGGTATTCTTGTAGATGCTAGGGGTACAGGAGTGAGCAAACAGATCAAAAATTCCTGCCCTTGTGAATGCATCTCTAGCATCACTGGCCTGGTACTGGAAACCTGATGTAACTGATTAACAGATTAACTATTAGGTACCCTTCTTTCTGAATGATGCTCTAAGGACATACATCCCATCCCAGGGAGAGAAAGGACAGAAAAGGGAAAAGCCAAAATAGTCCAGGCTCTGAACAGAATCTCTGATCGCCTCAATTTCCTTTCCCAAAAGCCATGTGTTTACTTTTTGAAGAATTGGAATGTGCATGCTAAGAGCTCTGATCTACCATTCTGATGAAGAAAATCATTTCAAGAAAATGAAGTCTGCTTTTCATCTGGATTCCTTATGTTTAGCACAGTATTTGGTCTCAAATTTTGGAGAAAATAGTCCATTTCTTCTTATCCAAGTACATTCTTTAAAAGCATATACATAGTTCACCTCAGCATGAGGTCGAGATGTGCTGGGAACCTCTGCTCTGGTGTGTTAGTCGTGGAAGCAGGTTTGCGTGCTTACTCACTAAGATCCCGGGTGCGGCTCTGTGCACCAGACACCTGCATGCTAGCAAGCCGTAAAAGAGAGGAGAGGGAAGATAAAAAGAAGAAAATAAAGGTGCTACATTTTCAAAATGTCTACTTAACAACCCTATGGTCGTTTACAGGTCTTTTCTCTGGCCATTTGTTACTGTTAGTACAAAAAGACAAGGAAGACACGCTGTTTCTTCCTGCTCTTCACCTCTTTAGCCTTATTAATATCTTTAAATTCAGTCAATTTCAACTCAAAACTTTCTACCAGTGGGGGAGGGGAAAAAGGGAAAAGATTTGTGGCTGCATGTTTAAGAAAGAAGCTGAATTCATCACAGTGACAGGGGAGAGTGTTGGCAGAGATCTGAGCTATTTATTCTTTTAGGAAAATCCTATAAAGAATGACACAAGGAAGCCTCTATCTGCAGTCTTGTTCATCACACCGGTGAAGACTCCGATAACAGATGTATGCAGTAGCGTGATTTAGTGCCAGGAGCTGGCCCCTGATGTGTATTAATACAGCGGCAAAGCGGAACGCACCTCTCTTCATCACTCATTCCCATAAAAGAGGTGGAATCCGAGATGGCCCGATGTTAGGCAGAGCAAGCCCATTTGTTCTACTGACTGATGGCGCAGGCTCAGGCTATGTCCTTCACCTCCGTGGGGCACTCAGGTTGTGGGTAGAAAAAAAAGAAAATGCTCAGCGAAGCAGGGCTTAGTCAACAGGTGAGAGGAGAGGAGTTAGGTTCAGTAAGGAAACATCTAATGCTCGAGTCTTGTTTAATTACCCCCACATCCCATACATTTCCCGATTCAAATATGGAATAAGGATTTAAAACTCTTCTCAATGGTTCTTCTCCTATAAAGAATTAAAAACTAAAAACAGATGCTAGATATTAAGGAGGAAAAAAAAAAGAATGAAGAGATAAAAGAGGGGAGGTTTTGTTTTAGTGCTTCAAATACCATAGACTGGATGAGAATCTGAGTTTTGATGTGGGGTCATAGTTTGGAATCAATCCTACCACATATAAAAAGACAGAACACCTGCAGTGTTTAAGAGGGCAGCTCTAGAGTCACAGGGAAACCAGTTTCATCTTGGCTCTGCAATTGATCCACCATGTGACCTGGGGGAGTGATTTAATCCTCAGCTTTCTCATGTGTAAACTGGAAATAAAAACAGCATCTACCTTGTAAAACTGTTGCAAACATTAAGTGAAATAATGCTTGCAAAGTGTCTGGCTCAGAGCCTGGCCAAGTGAAAAGCACTAAAAAAATTTACCATGATCATCAGACCTGTTATTAACACTGTCCAGTATGAGCCACCTTCAAGCAGACATCCCAAACAGAAGCTCCAAAAGGACAATTTCAGAGGTTGCCAAAACTTGGGGGTAGGGTTCCGTATCTGTCTGGGTTTTAACCTATACTCAGCTATCAGCTGCTCTGATCTATGTAATATATAGTATTTTCTAAGGAAAATAATCTATGATATATACTCAATATCCAATTTTCTCACTGATATGAATACATAACTATCCCTTTTTTTCATTGAAGGATAATATACACGAAGTAAAGTACATAAATCTTAAATGCACAGCTCAAGAATCTTTACAGATGTCAACGGCCACGTAGCCCCCACCTGGTTCATACACTGGAGCATTTCCAGCACCCCAGGTTTCTTTCTGCTCTCTAGGTCACTACCCTCAGCAAAAGACAACCACTATTTTGGCTTCTACCAATTAGTATTAGTTTTACAAAAAACTGAAAAGTTTTAAACTGAAAATTTGTTTTTAATTAACAATTTCTTGACTAGTAAAATACTACACTGTATTATTCATAAAGGCAGTTAAGAATGTATTGTATTGTACACTAAAGAAGCACATTAACCCATGGGACTCCCTGACTACTGACTGAATTGCCGCCTCAACTGGGTTTTCATTAATATGGACCCAATTTCCTGTCTGTGCTACAACAAGAGCTGAGATGACTGGAGATTGCTGATGGAGGAACATACAGTTTCAAATGCTAGAAAGCCATGCGGTAGTGAAAAACATAGACTTCAGGGTCAGTGAGAACTGGGCAATTACTTCTCACAGTCTTGGTCTATCCATGTAAAATGGGAATAAAATGACCTATTTTATCACGAAGATTAGATGAAAAGGCATACAAAACACATAATTTAGTGCCCAACACATCGTAGGTGCTCAATAAATGATAACTGCATATAATCACCTGCACTGGGGCTGGACAGAGATGCTGTGGCCACGGGTTTCCGTTTCCTCTTGATGTCACGTGAACATGGTGGTCCCCAGTGTACATTTGCCTGTCTGCAGATATGAGAAGCAAAAAAATGGCTTTAACTTTGTAATTCATACTGTATATAAAACATTATGTTCAGCCCAGAAGAAATCCTTGACCCATTACAGACAAAACCAAACAGGCACAATCTTTTGCCATTAAGTGTTGGCACAAGATTATTCAGAATTAATCATAACTCACTCTTTACCCATAATACATGCCCCTTCTAAACTTTTTACCTGCTTTCAGTGTAGCAGACATTCAAGATTAATTTCAATAAATATGCGTTTCATTATATGCATATTTTTGCACAATTATTTTTCATAAAAACTGTAACTGCAATTGTTCTAAACCCACTAATGAAATACCTACTCCCAAGTGGTAATATATTGAAAAGTTTAATGCTGCATGAACACAGATATTTGCATAGAATTTTAATAGGAAATTTAACCCTTCTGCCACTATAAATCTGAATTTTTAATACTATGTCACGAGTTAAATAAGTTTGGTTTCTGTGACTTTTAAAAGTGCTAATTATATGTCAATAATGTTTCCTCATCTGAATATTCAGCTTCTCTTAAAAACAAAACACTGAGAGCTTCAAAACTAGAAAAACAAAATATTCTCTGAAAGACAATGGGCTTAACACTGAAATGGCTGCTATGCCATTTGATTAATAATTCACACTGCTCCCCACTCCTTGTTTCTCTCAAACTAGACAGATCCTGCCCCAATTAAGGGCCAAGTTGAGTCTCACCCTTATACAAAGCTTTCCTTAAACATTTGAGACCTTATCTACCATGAATCAATATTTAACTGGTGCACATGTATCTTGTTTCCCTAATGAAACAAAAAGGCTTAATCTCCTTGAGATTAAGAACAGGGATCTTGAGAACAGGAACCATATTTACACTTTCATAATTTCCAGTGATCTACCAACCGCAGCACAAGACACATAGCTGATCCTCATTAGCTGCTGATTAGAACTGATATGAATGAATAAAACACTTAAAAGTTAAATGGTACTGGTTTAAAATGGTAAATTTTATATTATGTATATTTCACCAAAAAAAACTTTTAAATAGCCAATGTACGTAACATATAAAAAGGAATCCAGTAAAATCACACCAGATAAACTCCTAATTTGGTAGTCCAGCTAGGGATCAAAACTCTTTTTTAGTCTTAAAACTGGAACCTCCAACAAATCTAAGACAATCTAGATAGCAAGGCAACAAGACAACTGTTGAATCGACAATTTTCCTATACAGAGGGCTCCCCCAATCTGGTAACTTCCACAGTTTAAAACACACATACTCATTTCCCTAAATATCAAAAGCTTAAGAGTTAATTCAATTTACAAACAGGAAAATAGAAGACTTTGACTAGAATCCTAAGAAATTTTTTTAGAATGCAGAGTGCTATAAGCCAAGATTTACAATACAAAGCCATTGGTTTGGAAAATTCCATCCAAATCACCTTTTATTGGTCACTCTCTCCTGTATAGAAAATTAAGTTAATACCTCATGAACAGTTAATTCTGAAAACCCAAATAGTTAATTCTGAATAAATGTGTAAAATAGGGTACAGCTCATATTTCATACCTTATGTGAATAAGTCTAGCAGCAGGCTGATTTAATAATAAATTAACATAGATGACAACATCAAAGGTAGACAGTACAGTGTTCACTCTGAATGGACAGGTAGTAATTCCCTTTGAAGCCACGACACAGGCAGAAAAGAAAATTGTTCCTCATCAAAACAGGGAAATGTAGAGAATAGAGCTCCCATCTTTTCCACAAACACAGGACTTGAGTATATACAGACCCAAACTCAAACCACCCAAGCATTTTGATCTAATTCAATCATGCCTATCCTCAAGCATGATTCAGAAAGAGAAACAAATTCAAAGGATAACAGTTTATAGTCATGCTTCTTTCCTCTTTACCTGAAGCTCATTAAAGGAATCTCTAAAACTTTTCAGAATAAATGTTAACACTACTGCTTCAAACTCAACTATGCTATTGGACATCAGAGCGGTGGCACCCTGGAGCAGTGGGGATGTGGGGGAGGACAGACAGAAACTAGAACAGGTGCAGAGAGCTTCTGGGGTTCTTTCTGGTAACATTCTTTTTCTAGATCTGGATGCTGGGTACTTGGCTGTGACTGTGACAATCCCTCAAATGTGTATTTCCTTGTACACTACTCTGTATGTGTATTATCCTTCAACAAAAAGTTTAATTAAAAACACTGCTTCCTCAAGATCAATGTTTACAATATGCTGAGTTTTATGATATTAATTCTTGGAGTACCAACTTGGGCTGAACTACATGAATACTGCCTTGTATTTACACCTCATCCATCATTTTCACAGCTTTGCACGTTTGATATATGTCAGCAACAAGGTTAAGGGCCCATATTGTCAGCTCCTTTACGGATCTAGTCAGTAACACTTATTTTTGCACACTTTTAAGGAATGCTTGGCATATTTTGGAGTAAAAAGATGAAACCATTTATACATCAAAATGTTTAAATTTTTAACCATTTTAATGGAAATATGGTGGTTTTTAAAATGCTTACTTTAGTAAAATAAAAGTAAGTATACTTAGCTATTACTATGCATGTAGGTTATTATATGGCACTATATTCTGCAACGTCCTCGGGGGCTACTGAGGACTCAGTGGCTCCAGTGGTCCTTAGACCACCCTGGCCGTCTATGCAATGGTCCTTAGACCCCACCCCTTCTCTGCTCAGTAATGTTACGTGCAGACCCCCAACCGCTAAGCCTCCAGCCTGGTACTTCTCTCTGCAGTAAAGTCTACTCCTACCACTCCATTCCCACTTCTAATTGTCCTGAACATTCTAAATCCTTCAAATTTTGTAAATTCCTCTGGTTATAACTTCGGAAACAACTAAAGGCTTTCTAAGGAAACCAAGTAACAAAGCTTGTTAACCAAGTAATAAGCTTGTTATTTTGTCGTAAAAGTGTGTATTTGTGTGTGGACTATTTCATTTCTACTCAGCAGTGTTTTTGCTTCTTTCAGTGGTCACGAAGTTTTTACTGAGCATCTACTCTGTGCCAAGCATTGTACTAGACACTAGGGATGTAGTGATAAACAAAATAGATACCATCTGCCTTGCAATGTAGAGATCTTGTAACCTAGCCCGATTTATAGCTGCACAGCTTTTTAGGCTACAGAACATGAACAGAGAAACTAAGGCAATGATAAAGAGAAAGCATGCTCATTTTTAAAACTCAGTTTAAATGCTCCTTCCCTCCTAAAATATTTCTCTTAAGACCTGTTTCAAGGTTGGAGAGCTATTTTGCAGAAGGAAGACTAACATCATATCTTAAGACTAAGTACACAAGGGATATTTTCCTCTATATGTATCCCTTCCTAGTCAGTATTTGGGGAGGGAAGAAAAGAAACAGCCAAACTGTTACAAAAAGACAGTAAGGCATTTTCCTTTTTGGTTTTAAGCGAACACTAGTACTGGTAGAGTTTACGGTTTAGGAAAATCTATCTTTCCAAGTGAGGGCTCCATCTGCTTGGAAAGAACCTTAGAGGACAAAGAAGGAAAAGGACCCAAAATAAGCCTGGGCTAGTAATAAGGAAGCTGGGCACTTAAAGCAAGAAGATTTAAAGGAGACAGGAAATGGAAGCTGCCATGCTGTATAGCAGAGTCAGAACATTAGGATAGCCCCGTTTAAGAGTAAAGCATAACATGTGTGGGCTGGAAAGGCCTCTTGTGTTATTCTGGGGACCTTAGCATGTGGGCAGGCAACTGCTGCAGCCTCTGCTTCCTATTCAAGGGGGAGTTCCAGTTTTTTGTTTATCCCAAAGTAATTCCATAACATCAACTGTAAACATAAAAAAAGTAAGGAAGGGAAGGAAAAATAAAAAGGTTGACCTCCTCCCCACCCCAATTTTCATTTAGGGGTATTTTTTAAAATTTGTTATTTATTTAACATGTATTATTTAACTTGGATGGTATCACTGTTTACTTGTACAAAAAGAAGCTGAAAAGGGACAATGCACAAACGTGATAACAGAAAGGGCAAGGGAAGAGTCTGGGCTTCCCTTTCTCACCAACACACAGAGCCCCTTGCTGTAGGTAGAAAGGGTGGAAGATTTAACCAGACATTTTAAAACTCTTTTTCAAGAGCAGTATATGGTTATTCTTGGGTTGCAAACCGTGTACTATATGTCTGGAGAAGAGATCTTTCTATTACTCAGAGTGTAAAAAAGGCTAAATATAAGTTAAGCCAGTCTTTACCAAATTAAAACTTCACTCTCAATTGGAGTAGCAAACGGTTATCAGAATTACATAAGGAGCTTTTACAAAATACACATGTCCCCACTAAGATCCTAATTTAGTAGGATGGGCTGGAGTGGAAACATAATCACTCTGTTTATTTTGAAGTTTTTCCCCAGGTAATTCTGAGAAGCACCTACTGCAAAAATTGCTGAGTTAAAAAAATCTACCAAACTCCCAAAACCCACCTAGTCAATAATAGAGATATAAATATTTAATGTAAAGAACAATAAAATGATTAAATGAATATAAATTTAGATAAAAATACTGTTCCCCAGTATACAAGCAATTAACTTAAGAAAAGACAGGCTACGCTTGTTCTGTTTCATCTGATCAGGGACAATCTTCACTCAGGCCGGTGAATACCTGGGGCATGTTCTTTTGCAGCACATGTTCTGGGATCAGTACTTCCCCTAGAGTGTCAATTCTCCCACTGTGGTGGCATTTGCCAAAAAGAATTTAAGTGGGGGGGAGAAAGATGGTGGGGGGTAGAGGGGAGGAGGAGCAGTAAAAGCAATAAATACACTCTTTCTAAAAAAATTCTCACTTCAGAAAAAGTCACTAAATTCTTATCGTAAGTGTGAAGGTGAATGCTGAAGATTAACAATTAATTGAAAGAGTATTCTTTATATCACGCATAAACACGACATTTCTATTTTATTTTTTACTGCAGGTAACTGAATGATCAGGTGAGTTGTTAAAATTGCAGTGTTAC